GCGCGCGTCTATTTTCGAAACGGCTCCCTTGCGGTTCGTTTGCGCATATTTCTCTGGGTTTTTCAAATAATTTCCAATTGTATTGCGATGCCTATTAATTCTTTTGGCAATTTCGCCAAGTTTAACGCCACACTCAGCCATTGTTTTAATTTGAGTCTTCTCTTTTTCACTTAATTCGAGTGCACGCGGCATTTTTAATTAATTATGTTAGAAATCTCGCGAAAAAGATCAAAAATGGCAACAATATAAACTTTTTACATTAAGAAATTAACAATTTCTTAAATTAAACCACTTTTTGCTGGACGTCAGTTGACGTGTCGAGCTCAAAATCTAAATGCGCAACTTTGCACAAATATCAACTTTCTACTAAACGCATGACTTTGTCTTCTTCTAAATCCTATCGGGACCATAGATTCAAAGCAGATAAGAAATAAATGCATAGAAACGCATGTCAAAGCATACGAGAAAAACTTTGTATACTCGAAATATTAACACAGTTATTTGAATAGCCGTTACATCAAAAATAAGTTTTGCACAAATATCAATTTTACTGAGGTATATTAAGTTATTTGTTAATTATTAAGCTAAGAGGAGTTAGTAAGGAAATTTAAAATTCTATATTTTAAATTAGAGGGACAGGAAAGAGATGTAATAGAGTAGAGACCATTGTAGTTCGAACATAGTACCCTAAAAGGGTCATGCAGTGCATATGTCGAACTACAACGGCTAAGGAACAGAGGACTAAAGTTTCGAGTCCTTCTATTAGGAATGTTGAAATTTAAGCGTGTTAGTAAATGCTGGCTATCTACATCCCCGTTGATAAGGTTATGCAGAAAAACTACACCGAGCATTGTCCTACGATTTGTTAAGCTAGGTAAGTTAATAAGTAAAAGTCTGCTACTGTAGGATGGAAGCTGAAGATTTGCATCCCAGTATAGACCTCTAAGTGCAAATATTAAAAAGTTCTTTTGTACGGATTCTATGCGGTCCTTATGTACTCCATATTGGGGACTCCAGACACATGAACCGTACTCTAGTATCGGACGGACCAAAGAAATGAATAAAGTTTTGGTTATATAGGGGTCATTAAATTCTTTTGACCACCTTTTAATAAAACCAAGGACTCCTTTAGCCTTATTAACCATTAAGGAAATATGGTCGGCAAATTTAAGTTTTATGTCTAATAGGATGCCGAGATCATTAACCTGGGTTAATTTTTCTAAGGCAATCCCATTAATGGAATACGTAGCTTGCAGAGGGCAAGAACGATAAAAAGACATATGCTTGCATTTTGATCCATTAAGTATTAGATCATTAGCCAAACACCATTTTTGAAAGTTATCAAGGTCAGACTGAAGACTGCATTGGGCAGAGATGAATTTATACTGAAGACAAAGCTTTACATCATCTGCTTACATAAGAACTAGAGAGTTCGTTAAAGCAGGGGGCAAGTCGTTTATAAAAAGCGTAAATAATAACGGGCCAAGATGACTTCCTTGAGGGACGCCGGATGTAGCACGGACCAGACGGGACTGTATGTTTTTAAATAAGACTCTTTGTGTCCTTCCATCTAGGTAGCTGGAGATCCACGTTAAGAGGTCTTTAGGAAAACCCAGCATATTCAGTTTACTCAACAAAAGTGAGTGATTAACTGAATCAAATGCTTTGCTGAAGTCTGTGTAAATTACATCGGTTTGATATCCCTTACAAAAGCCGTCTATGACAAAGGATGTCAACTCCAATAAGTTTGTGGTGGTGGAGCGACGCTTAATAAAGCCATGCTGACAAGGAGTGATGATCGAAGAGCAAAGGTGTTGCAAATGAGGGGTAATTAATTTTTCAAATAACTTTGGAATTGCCGACAACTTAGAGATGCCTCTGTAGTTGGCAGCCTCGGACTTTATCCCCTTTTTATGTAGGGGAATTATAAATGATTCCTTCCACTTAAGGGGAAAAATCGAGGCTTCCAAAGATAAGTTGGAAAGTCTTAGAAGAGGTTTGCACAGAGCCCTGGCGCAGTATTTTAGCACACAGCCTGGTACTCCGTCGGGGCCTGGCGAATAAATGGGTTTTACCCTTAAAAGACCAGATAATAAGTTGTTCTCAGAAAAAGACGGACAGAAAATAAGATTTGCTGCTTGAATGTTATATGCATAAGGCTGATCAGTTAATTTAGGAGGAGAATAAGTTGTTTGAAAAAATTCTGCGAATAGATCGGCAATGGCCTGATCCGAAGTCGCAGAGGAATTTTCAAACATAAGCAGAGGTGAAAAAGATACGTGTTTACGCTTAGTGTTTACAAAATTATAAAACTGCTTTGGATCCTGAATAAATTGAATCCGGCAGCGGTCAATATAATTCCTATAACATTCAGCGTTATGCACGGTAAAATTCGACCGAGCTAGTAGGTATCTTGAGAAATCAACACTACTGCAGGTTTTTTTATATTTAAGTAAAAGCTTATTTTTTTTATTTTTTAGGTTAGTGAGGGACCTTGTATACCAAGGAGGATTTGTTGAAGCGGACGGATGTTTCCAAGGCACACATGAGTCAAATAATGTATTTAAAGTAAAATAAAATTTTTCTAAAGTGAGATTAAGATCAGTGCATGCCAGAATATCAGACCAGTCAAATGTATCGATAAGGCTATTAAGTTTTTGAAAATCAGCTTTACGGAAACAGCGAATCTTATTTACCACGCTCGGAGACATCTGATCGATACCAGGAGTGGTTTCGATTGAGACCTCCAGCGTGGGGTGATATGGATCCTCTGGGGCTGAAAGTATAATTTTGTCCAAAAGTGTGCAACGCAGTGAAGGAGACATCTCCGACCCTATATAGTATATATATTCTTGATCAGGATCACCTCCTGAGTTGATATGAGCATGTCCGTCTGTCCGTCTGTCCGTCTGTCCGTCTGTCTGTTTCTACGCGAACTAGTCTCTCAGTTTTAAAGCTATCGTCTTAAAACTTTGCACACACTCTTCTTTCCTTTGCACGCAGTATATAAGTCGGAACGGCCGGGATCGGCCGACTATATCCTATAGCTGCCATATAACTGAACGATCGGAAATGACCCAACTTTCGTGTTTTTGAAGATAGAACCTGGAACTTGGTACAGATTCTATTTTTGGTCAGTTAATCCGACCTACAAAATTTCATTAGGATCGGCCGACTATATCCTATAGCTGCCATATAACTGAACGATCGGAAATGACCCAACTTTCGTGTTTTTGATGATAGACAGCTGGCACTTGGTACACATTCTATTTTTGGTCAGTTAATCCGATCTACCAAATTTCATAAAGATCGGTTGACTATATCTTATAGCTGACATAAACCTGAACGATCGGAAATGGTATTTGGTAGAAATATCAACTTTCGTATTTTTGAAGATAGAAGCTTGCGACTTTTTTTTAGATTTTGTATTGTAATTAATTGGTTTTATTATGATGTTTGCGATATATATCCGGTTTTAGCTGCAAGGGTATATCAACTTCGGCTCCGCCCGAAGTTAGCTTTGCTTTCTTGTTACTTATTAAATTTGTAGGAATTGTGTTTATTTAAATGTTTTTTTATGGCGAATAGATTGATATAATAGAACAGTAGAATGATCTTAAGTTTTGCTTCTTGCGTCTTGCTTTTTTATTCTTTTACGGCCAAGTGACGCTTTTTGCTTGTTGCCACTTGTAGTTTGCCGCAGTTTTTGCTGCCCAACGGATTTAATACATATATGTACATATGTCCCACATATAAATATGTCCTAATGTAAGTTAGCAACCAAACACATCAATTTATTTGGTCCTTGGTTCGCATAGTATGCAAAGGCATGATTAAAATTAACTGTGGAAAAGTCATTCGTTAGTGACCTGTCCGATCGCAACTCAAAAATATTCAAATATATACAAACAAAACAAGAAATAACGAGTTTCCCGACTTTATTAGACCCGGTATTCATCTCTTCCACCCCCACTTTAACTAACGTTTAAAGTTTAAATTTTGATAGTATGGATTGTAAGAAACAAATTTTTGTTGCAACATTTTGACACAAACTTGATCTTTGGATACCATACGAGTCCAAGTTTCAAATCGGAAAATTCTGTCTTTTATTTTCTGTACTGGCGCTACAGAATTTCGCGATTTGTGGGGGCATTAGGAGGCGTGGCACTTTTGACCAAAGTTATAATACCCTCATGTGGTTCGTTAATGACTACTTGTCATAGGAGAGTCATTCTTTTAGTAGGGAACAGTCCGTTAGCTTTAGCTCATACCGCATACCGGTAATAAAGCATACCGAGTCGGAAATGAGCCTAATCAAGTATGTGTGTATTTTAGCTTTTTATGTTATGCAGAAACACCCGGCTGTACTTCTTGACATGTTCAATCTTATTTTTTCTAGAATTCTATAAAGGCTGCTTTTCAAGCCTAAGAGACTGTTGTTCAATGCCTCAGGGTAAAAGTCTTTCTATTTTCACACTATACTCTTTTTTCGGCTAAGCTAAGAGGTGATAAGAAGACGATCAAACACCTGAAAGACCGCAGAATAGAACTTGTGTTCGGGAAAGCTATTACGCTTGTTGAGGCTGTCGGGCCAAGCCATCGGGAATTACTCATGGCCCACATTTTAATTATATATAATTTTTTTTTCGTATTTTGGTAACCACTTGAGAATTCAATCACTGTGCCACTTGAGTTTCAGTTCTCTTCACAATACGCTATCATTCACAATGAATTTCGGCAATCCCAAAATACCTCTAATTTATGACGTATGCCCGACACATGTATTGGCAAATTACATGACTAATGAACGATTTTTGAAGAACATTGGACAGGTGACTGTAAACCTTGATTTGATTAGGTGTTTCGTCTGTCATTACCTATATGCGAAATAAATTTGCCGAGCTTGTATCTAATCTAAGCGGCACGCCACCTCCCGCCCTCTTATTTTTAGATTTTATATATTTAAGTGCCAGTGCTTCTTGCCTGGCCTATTAGTTTTGTGTGGACAATACAACTGGCAAGATGTCAAAAGTGGAAATAGTGATTCTTCTACTGTTGCACGCCCTAATTAGCGAGGGTAAGCCCTTGCCCGCAGGTGTCTACGACCCAGAAGAGGCTGGTGGATTTGTAGAAGGCGACATGATGTTGACGACGGAGCAGAAAAATACTCTTTCTTTTGGCCCCAAGGCTAGGAATGGGCTTATAAATACAGAGAAGCGGTGGCCTCAGAATGTAGTGGTCTATAGAATATCCAACGACTTTGATAACTTGCACAAAAAGGCCATCGAAACTGCCATTGAAACGTTGGAGCGAAACACCTGTATAATATTCCGAGAGGCCACGGACGACGACGCCGCGTATCTCACGGTAACTGCAAATACTGGAGGTTGTTACACTGCAGTTGGTTATCGTGGAGAGCCGCAGGAAATGAACCTGGAAATATATCCTGTGGGAGAAGGATGCTTCAGGCCCGGAACCATCCTGCACGAATTCATGCACGCCCTGGGATTCTACCATCAGCAAAGCTCCGCCATACGGGACGGATTCGTCAACGTGGTCTACGAAAACATAGTGCCAGGCAAGGAGTTCAACTTTGAAAAGTATTCAGACTCAGTAGTGACAGACTTCGATCTGGGGTACGACTACGACAGCTGCCTACACTACAGGCCGGGCGCATTCTCTATAAACGGCGAGGACACCATAGTTCCTTTGGACTCAAGCGCGCAAATTGGACAACGTTTGGGTCTCAGTTCCAAGGACATAGACAAGATCAACATCATGTACAAGTGCCCGATTTTGGTGTGATTTGAGAAATATGGGTTTTCTGTACCTGTGATATGTTTAAACTAATTACATGTATAAATTATTTACCGACTGGAGCGATTAGATCAGTTTTTTAGATCCAAGCTGTCACTGTCGGAGGTGCATGTTCTATATATTTATAAAAGCGTAAATTAAAGCAACTTACTTCTTTATGACTCTTATGGTGTCGCGTCTCTGATAACTCTTATCTGCAGGGGAAAAAACCGTGGGGTAACATTAAGAACTTTCGATGAGGTCTCCCTGAAAATTCAGACCCAACAGCATTTTGTGCGTCTTGTAATTGCGGCCTGCTAATGCGATTTATGGCGAGACGCAGCTGCTTGGAGAGGAGGCATCTGGCTTGGAAATGCCCTGGCAAACTGGCACAAGCCCTATAGGCACCTAGACAATTCAGGACCCACAACCAGGCACTCAATTCTCGCATTTTGACACCGCTTGTTAGACCATAAATTCGATTTTCATTTCGTTCGTTTCTCCGACACGGTTCCTTTCCGTTACATCAACCGACATTTCGAACATTTTGCAATGTCTTCCTTGCACGTTGTTTCATTCGAAATTAAGAAAGGACCTGCATGTTGGCAAAAATTAGCATACTGCAAGGAGCCGAGCATCAAATTTTAAAAGCCATAATAGAATTCAAGAAGAAATATTGGGCGATTTGCCGAATAGGCAGTTGGGACCCAGAGCCTGGCTAGAGTAATAGATTCAGATGGATTTTTACAAATAGAAAAAAAGAAAAGTATCTATATATTAGATTCTCCTATACGAAATGTATTTTGGACCAATTATTATCTTCAGTTGCGTTGAACCAATCGGCCGATTGGGCCAAAATGAAGCGTGAGCTAATCCACTTATCAAGAACAATACTAATTAATGACATAATCGCAAAGGGTTTCTTTCAACTTTTGCGATTAAAAGTCATTGAGATTTCCTTAATGGAAGCCATTATTTTGAATTTTGTGTATTCACTTTTGTATGTAGGTACATACAAATAATAATTGCGCTCAAAAATACTTGTAAATAAGATAAAGGTGCAAATAAATACCCAACTACCCAATAATTAAAAAACAATCAGATTCTTAAGAAAGTCAAGTCTGGTGTAGATTTGATAAAGGGACAGGTAACTCCAGTTTGCGGTGATCCCTAACCGAAACATTTTTACTTCTAGTGTGTCTTATAGGACTTGTAAAGATACAACGTAATGCGGAAATGAATCAATTATGGAATTCTGCCAACAACACACTGAACAGCTGCTTTCTTAGATTGTCTAGTAAAGCTGACTCATAACTTAACAAATTTCACAACCTCCTTAAATTGATTTGACTTGGCCCTGAAAAGTATGTTTTAATTTCGCAGCTATTTGAAACAGATTAATTAAAAACCGCCAAAAAGCTTGCCATAAATAAGACCACATATTCTATTGCGTTCAGTATGCAAATCAGCAGCAAACAATGCCAATTTCGTTGGATCTTCGGTTTGCACGCTTGCCAATAATAACTCATCCGGAAAAGAACACACAAATACGCAAATGGCAGCGGAAGCCAAACCCCAGAAACCGAAGCCACATGAAATATGAAACGAATTGGAACGATTTCCCCAAAGGCGCCCGAAAGCGCATATGCGGCCAAACTGAAAACCAAAACTGAGGAAATGCAGAACTCCTTCTGCCTCCCAACAATTTATTGCTGACGAATGCTTATTCAATTTTTAAAGGCTCACCAGAAATGATTTATACATTTAATTTTTCTCACCAAGCCGCTTAGCGGAAATGGAAAATCACCCGCAAGGACCCCAGCACGGCCACTTCCTGTCCCTCATCTTCCCTTTTTCGAATTTTTACGATTCATGTTTTTGGGCACAATTTCTCATCGTTCATATTTATGACTTTGATGTCGTAAAAAATTATGCTTTAATTTGATTATGCTGCTTCAAAGTTCGTATGTGTGGTTGTTGAAAACAGTGCGTATACGCAATCTTCCTGCTTAAAAATTCGTTAAAGGTTATTGGGTCAACGCTTAGGCGTCTCGCATATGTGATTGTCTCTCCGGCTGCTTGAGCACTGAGCCTTTAAGACCAGTGAAAGGGATCACATTACTATTAAAATATTTATGACATAGTTATTCATATTATCATATCATTTAAAATTCCCTAAAACTTTTTGCAACTTTAAGCGAAACTATAAAACTAGTTGAAGTCTCTCATTTTATGTGAATCGTCTCTTCCATTCCACTCTTTACCTTATATTAATGTAGGTGCTATTTTGTTGGCGACTTATTTAATTTTTTTTATTTTATGTATTACATACATACATACATATATGGGGCTCTAACCAAATGTCTAAAATTACACAACCATGATGATTTTGGTCCATGATGACGAAAATCAACCAAAATGATTTTTTCAGTATTGAATTTTGGAATTTAAAATAATATAAAATAATATAGGATCAATTGATAAATTGATATAGCATAAATTTAAAATAATATAGACTGCTATAGACGAGATCCAGAACTATTTTATACCCGGTACTCCACCCCCAATTTTCAAAATTTTGTTGTTTTTAAAATTTGACCACGCCTATGCCCGCCGCCCACATCAACATTGGGCCATATTTCAAAACTTTTACTAAATATGGTTTCATTTCTGAATATGGTGTTAAGTTGGCCTAAAACTATTCAAATATTTATAATTTGCGCAAGTATGAGCAAAACGTGCTAACTTTATTTCAATATATATAGAATAACTCGTACAACCTTATTCGCAGTTTACGTAATACGAAGTAATATCATAAGTTTTAATCCACGAAACACAAGAATTTTATGTCCTATATATTATTATGTTCGATATATGATAAAACAAGATTAAAAAAAAAAATTTTTTTCCGACTACATTTATTTCTTTTTTTGTTTTTGACAGGGGCTAAATTTTATTTAAACTGTCCCTGTTGGACATCCATTAAATTTCGCAACAAACTTGGCTTATAATTAACATAAAATTAGGGATAGAAACAAAAAGTGTTCTAGATGTTATATATTAAAGGGCCCATCACGCTGCCTTGGGAGACTCCGGCGCGGACCTCCCTGAAGCCGGAAGGCCGCAAACATGCGGTCTTTTAGACGTCCATGAGTTGTTTGACGTCCAGCATTACAGCCAGGCAGTACTTCTGGTACTGGCAGTACTGGTTTCGAAGGCGTCCAGGATATACTGCACCAATTTGTGGCACTGCTCTGGAGTTCCGTGGGACCGCCTGAATCCAAACTGGTGATCAGGGATCAGACTAGCCTCGTCCAGTACCGGCAATACTCTGTTCAAAAATAGTCGTTGTAGTATTTAAGATGGTATCGACAGCAGACTTATCGGATGGTAAGAGGCTAGAATGGCTTCCGGTTTTCCAGGTTTGGGTAATATGGTTCAAATTTTCCAGGTGGTTTCAAAGTACCCAATTTCCAAGCATCTGTTGTAGATCTTTGTAAATAGCTCGATGCTTTGAGGTAGTTGCAGTATCAATGCAATTCCAATGATACCATCATACCATCAAATTCAAGAAAATAATTTTGAACTTTGAGCCAAAGAAAGAGATTTTCCGCCCAATGAGCTATGTGGCAGATTAATCAGGTTATAAATAAGGATTAACAATTTTTGGCAAACTTACTGCGAGAATTACTAAAATAGCAATAGAAGAAATAAAGTAGAATAAAAAGTCATGGCTGAATTTTTTCAGGGATAGTCTCAGAAATTCACGGACATGGTTATATTGACTTGGCTGTTGATTCTAATCAAGAATAGAAGGCGTCGGAAATGAATCCTTTTCTATGTTATATACATTCAATCAAATACACTATACTCTTGCACTCTACCGGGTATACAAATCATAGCCATTGAGCTGAAAATTCGAATCAAATTGTAAATGGCTTACACTAATAAAAAGTTTACGCTCTTTTCCATTACACTATGATATGTAGATAGACTCAATAAGTTGCAAAAAGATTACGAATTAAACAAAGACCTCAAATCTTCCGAATTGTACTAAAAAATTAAAAACATAATCAAAATCAAAAACATAGTCATAAGAGAAATAAAATTTATACATAAAAAATTCAAAATTGATGAAGCCAAACCTAAAGATCTTTTTCTTAGAAACCTAAGAAAATGTATTTTTTCTTTCATTTGAAGACAAAATTGATAGAAAAAAACATATTGGCTTAAAAAATTTCGCAAAAAGTAAGGTATGGAAAATAACTATAATATTTTTTGGTCATATAATCCAATAATTTAAAGACGTCTGGAAAACGCCCCTCATTAGGGCGAAGCTTTTCCATTTCCCGCCTTTGTTGCTTGTTTAACACATTAACAGGCCCATAATCTATAAAATTTTATCGGGACAAACGGTTTCGCTAAGCTACTTAAATGCAACTCAATCAAACGACGAACTAATTAATTTGCTTTTGCATTTCTTTGGTATCCTTTAAAGCCTTGTTCTTTTGCCCCAAACCCACTCACGCCCATACTCGCACAGAATTGATTTTCAGGACCCCCACAGATCCACACGTCCGCAGATAAAATGGTTATTTGGGCATGGCCGCCTTTTGTGTGAACATTAAAATCTTAATTTGAATATGTTACCGCTTGTCTATGCCACTTTTAATCCCCATTTGCCGTACTCCCCATCGGGGTGTTCTGTGTGCATATCCTGGGGTGTAAGTATGAGTGAGTGAGGGGTTTTGGGTGCAGAATGTTGCACAAACAGCTGAAACTAGATTGTAGCATCATGTTCATTTAAAAAGGTAATTTTGGCGCTGAGCTTATTATGCTCATTAAGTCATCAGGGTAGCCCGTTGCAAAATGGGCCAACAGGACCAGGTCTGGGAGCTGCTCTGGCTCTGGACTCTTCTCCTGAAAACGGATCCGGGCAACATTACGGTGCACAATCTGGCGGCCGCAAATCCGCAGCATTCATATGTTGTTGTGTGGCTTGCTTTATAAACACTGGAAAAAATACTAGGCCTTGGGTTTAAAAATACGGTCAATACGGCCTAGGGGTTATTTTACCTTAAGGATATGCAAGCAACATTGTCGGTTGCGGTCAAACAATTTTAACTCACTTATGATCTTTTTATAAACTATGTACATTGAATAAAATTTCTATTAAACATAATGGCAC